AAAAGAAAAGAATTTTGAAAGGTAAAATAGTTGAAAAATAAATAAATGCTGACTCTGAAAACAATAATAAACTAGGCAGAAACTATCAAAAATTAAGGTTAGAAATTTGGCAAAATATATATATAATTGTTATTTTTAAAAGTTATAGAATATTATGCACAATAAAGTACTTTCACAATATAATGTGTATCACTGTGTATATAAGTGAATTGCTATCAGTCACACAAATTAAATTCTAAATTTGTAAGAAAAATTTTAATGACCAACAACTTAGGAAAAAAATTCAGGGTTTCCTTTTTTTTTTTTTTTTTTTGTAAATCCACTTCTCAAAGCACGTGACTTCATAGATCCATTGATTTTTCATTTTTCTCGAAATTTTGAAGAAATAATTAATTTCCATGTTTTATACATTTGTCTGGAGCATGTAAAATCATGGGAGGTATGTCAGTTTTTAAAAATGTAAATATTATTTTAACCCCAAACCAAATTAAGATACTAGTGATACTTAGTAAGAAATAACATGAAATATGTATATAATGCAGTAATATATTTAAAAATTTAAAATTGTGAAAACACTAAACGTAGGTATGACAGTACAAATGAGCATAAACAAAAAAGACTGGAAAGGCTTTGGAAAAAAATAAAATTTGTTTTAATGGGATGGTTAATTGTAAGTAGTTATTTAAAAATAGTAAATTTTTCTTAAAAGATTAAAAACCAACGGCTGCATGGAGTCACATACTTTGGAAATTCCTTTATATGGCTCAGTGAAAACAAGGTCATATTCCTATGAAATTTACCTGTTTTGGTGAATCTTCTAAAAATGCATGCTCTTTTCGAAAGTGACAAAATATACCGAGTGGAGAAGGCATAGCATGCCTGTAGTTAATGCTTCCCAAAGTTAAATATCTGGGCTGTTTATTTTTATGAGTGCATTCCAAATGCACTTGCTCCCTATTACGGATCATTCCTTTGCCAAGTTCTATTTTTAAATAAAAGCCTACTTTTCAAAAGTTACACAACCAGTGAGAAAGCAACCAAGACATGCGAACTTCTGGTTTTGCACGTGTACTTGTAAGCTTTAAAGAACAGACCAGATTTTTATTTCTATTTTTATTGTTGGAGAATTGAGAAAGGCTGGTTTTTGAGGGCGATCAGAACTAGCAGTACGTGGCCATTTGCAGGGGGCTGAGTGACAGACAGTATAGCGTAGGAGGCTAACACAGTACAGGCACACAAGCAGCAGCACAGGGCGTCAAGAAATATTTTCTGAAACCACTTGCAGTGGTTTTCTTTGGCACCCAGGCTTATCCTAAATTCCTTCAGTTCCATCTGGTGATGTCTTTCTTTCCTCACCTAAATAGAATTTTCTTATATCCGCTATTAACTCAGCCCCACCCCGCTTTGCGGTAGTAACGCACATATTTTAACTTTCACATTTTCCCCCAAGAACACATATAAGTACAATTGGTTTACTTTCTGGGGAATTGTGCCACCCATTTTTGTATAAGAATTGCTGTCACCATGCATTTTAATAAACATGAGGGATCAAAGAGCTGCATGTGTGGAAGGTAACGGGTCCCTGAATTTTATCGCATCCATTCTTTCCTAATCAGAGGAGGGAGGTGCTTGTGAATTACAGATGCCATCAAAGCAGGTACGAGTTTTTATTGATTTTATGTAGATATCATTTCTTGCAGTTAGCCAATTTGGCACTGTGCCAGAGGCATAGTAGGTGCTCAACAAATATTGGTTGAACCACTTCTGACTGCAGAAGTTACAGTGTTACAATTGATCTGAATAATTAAAGTCATCGCTTCTAAATACAATTAAGTAATGCTCAAGGACTCTGTTCATTGATTGGTGTAATCTAAATTAAAATCGCAGTCCGTTTTCATCATGTTTTCAGATGTATAATGGAATGAATTCCCATTACAAACTGAGGTCCAGGTACCCGAATGGATCTTAGGTGTCAGATTAAAGAGTCTGGTCAGCAAAGATCTTCCATGCCGTCTTCCAGAGCATATGCTTACCACAGCCTTGCCTCCATTGAATTAGAGTTTGACATTAGCTTCAGAACCGAGCCTGCTAGATTTTCTGCCCTAAGGAAAGGGGGAGAGATGGTTCTAAGAAGCATATGATAAAGGGAAAGTGAGGCCAGCCTTGGAAAAACTGTGTGCATCCCCTCTTCGTCTTGCCACGCGTGGGGACAAGCCCTCACCACGCTTTGCATAGCTTCTAAATGGCTAGGCCATTCAAACAGTTACTTCCTGGTCCCTGCTGCCAGTGCATGGTTCATGAATACAACCTGCTCGGCAGACAGACAGAGGCTGGCTGTTTACATTTCATCCTGTTAAACTCTCTTAATTAGACACATGTGGTGTAGCGGAAACATGCAGGCAGACAGGTCAGGCTGGCTTCTGTGTTGATGTGAATTAATCAGCTTGATGGACGTGAATACCCTTGAAGAAATGAAGATTTGATAGAAAGAGAAAAGCCATTTCCTTAGGACACGTCAGTAGGTGGAATCCGTTTGGGCTGAAGAGAGGAACTAGAAAGTAGAAAGTATTTGGGAGAATGACAAAGATCAGCTGCCATTTCTCAGTAAATGATGACCCTGAGAGGGAGATGGGTTTGTTTTTTTTTCTTTCTTTCTTTCTGTTCCTGCACATTGATGCTCTCTAAGATTTAAACTGATGCCTACAGTTTATAAAGTCCAGGCATGCTTGAGGACTCAGCACTCACTTCCCCCCAGTGGGTCTGAGTCATTACCGTGACGGTTGGAATTGGGGACAGCTTTCAGAGAAACCCTTGGCAGGCAGGCGGGGGCGGCGTAGGTGGAGGTATTCTCAGGTTCTCTCCCCGACTTTCACATCCAGTGAATCTTCTGCCCATGCGCTTTCCTGGTCTTCATCCCATTGTGCTCTGTCATTTCCTGTGCAAACCCTGCCGTTTGGAAGACTGCAGACCTTCTTCGCTGGCGGGCAAAGGGCAGAGGACTCACTCCAGCAGAAAATAAGAAAGCCCTCTCTGAGTGCGACACGAACAGGGCACTTGGGAGTTTATTGGTTTCTTGTATCATAGTTCACCCATCCTGTGCTTTCTGGGGATGAGGTATTCCGCAAGAGTGAAATTTCCAGATAGCAGATATATGAGTACCAATTTTAAAAATAAAGAATATGCTGCTCTTCTAACCCTAGAATATTGAGCATTGCTTTAGGGGTGTTTTTAAGAAATATCTTCTCTGTACTCCATCCTCTTTAATGTGCCCCCTTTTTTCTCTTCTCTTCTCTTCTCCTTTCTTCACTAGGGCACATTGGGCTTGGTTTCAGCATATTCATGCATGTATGTAACACATTTGGATCATCTCCCATGAACCTTTGCTCCCTCTCTCCCTTCCTCTCCTAGAATCTCTTACATGCTTTGCCACCTTTCAATTTAGTGTCCTTCGAGCTAACCACAGTCCTGACTTCCCCTACCTCCTTGGTAGAGAACTAAGCAATGTCTTTCTGCTAGCCTTGGAAAATGAGAACTTCCTTAATTACTTATTTCAAGCCAATAATGTTTTCTTTGGGGGGGTACTGGGG